GCGGCCCCCTTTCTGGCCGCGGCCTTCCTTCCCTCCCTCGGCCCTGCAGTTCTCATCATCCACAGCGAGGCTGTTCCACCACTCCTGTACCTTCCCCCCCCCAGTGTGGAAGCGCGCACACAAACACACACAAACACACACAGCTCCTCACCCGGGGCCCCAGAGGGGAAGGGGCTGGGTGCTGCTCCCAACGGGGACCCTTGGGGGGACCTGCACAGAAGCCCCTTCCCTTGCCAGCACTGCCCACAGAAAGCGGGCAATACCCCCCTGCCCCCCTGGGGCCCCTTTTGTGGGGGGGGCAGGCACCCGGTGGAGGGTGGGATGCCCAGGAGCCTCCCTTTGTTCCAGGATGCCAGAGTCTTTTCGAGTCGTCTCCATGGGGCTCCCGCCCCACAGGCAGAAGGCAGCGGACCTTTGGTGTGTCCAGGGAGGAGGGGGCGCAGGGTGGGGTGCGTGGAAGAAGCGGGCTCCCCCAGCTGTGGCACAGCTTGCCCGTGTCCTTGCCAGGAGCAGAGTCCACAGGGGATGTTTCTTCCCTTCACAGACGTGGGGCTACCTTTGAGGTTGATGCGGAAACTCCAAGTGGTGCAGAATTCGGCGGCCAGACTCCTTAGCGGAGCGAGAAAATACTATCCTCTCTCTCTCCTACTCTGGCCGCGTTGCATTGGCTGCCCATTCGGTTCCGCATTGACTTCAAAGTGTGGATGCTTACGTATAAAGCCCTAAACAGTTTAGGACCTCGATATTGGATGGACTGCCTACCCCTGCCAAGATCTACCCTTAATCACTCAATCGAGTCAGGAGGTGAGGCTGAAGGGCCTGACGCCGAGGGAGGCCCGGAAGGAAAAAACAAGACATCGAGCCTTCTCGGCGGTGGCTCCTCGCCTCTGGAACAACCTCCCTCCAGAGATTCGTGCGGCCCCGTCGCTGGGTATTTTTAAGACCCAACTAAAAACCTGGATGTTTAAGCAGGCCTTCCCTCCAGTCAATACTAAATTTCTCCCTTCTTCACTTATCCTTTGTTACTCTGCCATCTTGAATAATTTGTCTACTGTTTATTGTTTTATATTGTTTTATTTTTCTTATTTTGGTATATGTATATGTTATTCTTTATATTGTCTGGAAGCCGCCTGGAGTGGTCGCAATGACCAGACAGGCGGGGGGATAAAATAAATAAATAAATAAATAAATAGAAGACGTGTCATGGGCTGTGACCTTTAGCTCTGGGGGCACGGGGAGCGTGAGAAAGGCGCCTGCTTCCGGGGGGGGGGGCTCAGAGCAGCTCACCCGCTCATTCTGCCACTGGCCCTCCTGCTGGCAGAAGCCGAGAGCAGAGCTGAGGTGTATTTGGTGGAAAGAAGGACCGCTTGGTGGCACTGGCCTAGCAGCCCCTGAGCGCCTTTTCCTCCTTCTGGCTCTGTGGGGCCTCAAAATGCTCCTAGCCCCCCCTCAACAAAACCAGAGCAATGGTGAAAGAAAGAAGGAAAGAAGTAAGAAAGCAAGAGAGAGAGAGAGCACAGAAGCTCTTCCAGGGCCACTCACTTCAGCCCCAGCCTTGACAGCCACAAGGGGAAAGTCACCCAAGAGGAAGGGAACGTCTCTCTCTCTCTCTCTCTCTCTCTCACACACACACACACACACACACACCCCTGGGGGGAGGGGGGGAACCCTCTCTCCCCCCCACCCAGGCCCTTCCCCGGCCGCCCCTTACCTTGTGCGTGGGGCTGTAGGAGTAGAGGTAGGCCAGCCGGTAGAGGCTCTTGTAGTGCTGGGGGAAGCGGCTGAGGCAGAGGTGGAAAGCGGCGATGCACTGCTCCGTCAGGAAGCGGCGCTGTTCCTCCAGATCGGTCGGCAGGCCCAGAGGAAAGGGCTGGGCACAGGGCTCTGCTCGCCTTTTGGCCTCCCACGGGGGAGCAGGGCCTTTCGGGGCTCCGGCGGAGGCCTCGGGCTTCGGCTCGGCTGCCGGGCAGGGTTCAGAGTTTTCCGCCGAGTTCCCTAAGGGGGACCCGAGCCCGGCAGTCAGTGTCACCTCCAGGCCACCTCCAGGCCCCCAGGTTTTCCTCCACCGCTAGATGTTACCAGTGATTCCAAGACTTTCAGTATTTAGTTTCCAAAAACCAAATTGCAAAAGAAAGCAAAACTCACAGGCATTCTCATCCCTCCTGACTGATCCTTTGTTTACTTGCCTCCCTCCCTCCCTCCCTCCCTCCCTCCCTCCCTCCCTCCCTCCCTCCCTCCCTCCCTCCCTCCCTCCCTCCCTCCCTCCCTCCCTCATTCATTCATTCATTCATTCATTCCTTCATTCCTTCATTCCAGCTCCACCCTCTCTACCAGTACAGGGACCTCAGGTGGCCGCCTACCAAAGACCAAAAGACAAGCTCCAGTGACCCTACAATGAACTACAATACTTAAATGCAGTTTGGGATATGAATAGAGAAAAGAGGGGAGGAGAAAAGCCTAGTATTGCGATGCTGAAAGCATCTCAAGGAGAAGGGAGAAAAGGACCTCAGCATTCTCTTAAGCTTTGCTCCTAATTCTGGGCTCACAAGTTGCCCTCATCTCAAAGACAAAAAGGGCTCTTAAGGCCCACCCTTGAGGTCCACAGTCTCGCCCCCCCCCGGCCTCCTCCTCCCTCCACTGGCAATGCCCGCTGATACTTGTGTGTGTGTGTGTGGGGGGAAGAGGCAGGGATGAAGCTTGGCTAAGTGGGGGGTCCACATCCCAAAGAAGCCCCCCTCCCCGGGAACCATATGCCTGGTGGACCTACCCCTCCGTTCCTCTGCAGCTCCTGAGGCCTCCTTGCCTTGGGCCCCGGCGGCCGTGGCGGCAGCTTCCAGGCACGCAGGATCGGTCCTCCTTTCCGGGAACAGCTTCTTTGTGCTCTCCTGAGAGCTGGCAAGCTCATTGAAGACATCCTGGGTTGAGTTGGAATCCGAGAGCACCACCGCTGTGCTGTCCTGGCTCCTGTCTGCACGGGAGAAACGGAGACCAAACCAGCGAGGAGCTTCCGAGGCAGCTCTTCCCCACAGGCCTCCCTCCCTGCCCGCTTGCCTCTGCAAGGGGGTGGGTGGCTGCCCCTGTTCCCCCTTCCACTTTGGCTCTGGAGGCAGCCCAGCCCCCCAGTGGCCTGGCTTGCCCGGCTCTCACTTTTCCCATCGCCACCTTTGTTGGTGTGCCTTTACCTTCCTCGAAAATAGCAGGAGTTCTGCCTGGAGGATCCCTTGACCAGCTAGGCTGCTGCTCCAGGCACCCCTCCTGCACACCCAGGCAGGTCGGACTTGAAAGACAACCTCCTCCTGCTGCTGCTGCTGCTGCTGTGCAGGCACACTTTGCAGAGCAGCCAAACGGAGCCCTCTGTGGCCCAGCAGGCACTAACAAGTTGATCACGGCACCTTGTCAGAGCATGCCGGACACATGCCGGTGCTGTCCTACAATGGCTGTGATGTGCATGTGTGTGCAAGTGTGTGCGCGCACACACATACAAGAGAAAGGAAGTAAGAAAACTGCATGCAGTGAAGAGAAAAGGAAGGGTGGCTCAGAAAGGGCAGAGCAGGGCAATGATGCTCAAGCACAGAGAGGTCTGTGGAATCCTGACAGGGAGGACTCGCAAGGACTCCCTCGGCCCGATCTCTGTGCTGCTGCCATCAGTGCTGCTACTGGCAATTTAGGGCTAATCCCGTTGCTCATCCTGGCTGGAACGGAGGCTCTAAAGGAACGGGACGTGTCGAGAGGTTTCCATAAATCCCACTGAATCCAAAGTCTTAATCTCGTCCAAAGAAAGGGGGTTTCTTCACCCCTAACGTCACACTTCATACAACTGCTTCAGGCCAAGAGCCCAGCGAGGCTCTCGCACCTTCAGGTGGCAGAGAGGCCATCTTGGGAGAAGCTCGGCCTTCCAGACCAAGCCTTGGTGGGCAGAGAGCCGAAGCCACCCAGTCTTCAAAGCCTCAAAGGGTTTATAGGGCAAGGCAGCAACAAAAAGGGTTCCTCGGCTGAACTGGAGAGCTGCCCGGTCAAGGGGAGGGGGGTCCCCCCAAATATAAAAGGTAAGCGTTACCCACGGCTTGGCTGGGGACAGGGGCGGGGGGGGAGAAGGGAGCCGCCCCAGGGAGACGCCGCCTCCTCCTCCTCCTCCACAGGGACAGAGAAGCAGACAGAACTCAGGATTCTTCCCAGAGAGGGTCAGAGAACAGCTGCTGCCCATATAACAAAGGGAACGGGCTGTCAAACCAGCAGAATTCCCCCCCCCCGACCCTCTTTTGCCGAAGGAGCCTTTCTGTAGACACAAGTCACACACATCCCCAAAGCTGGCTTTTCCTTCTGGCACAGAAACTGCCCGTCCAGCAGGAGGCGCCCTCCCTCCCTC